AACTAAAAATAATTGAGTATTTACTTATTCTTCTCAATCAGAATTGATTGTTAAGAACCAAAATAAAGCAAATATGTTTTGCGACATATGCAAACGAAAATTAGAAGAAGAAACATTTTATAAACAACCAATGATATTTAGCAGCTCTACAAAGTGGCAAAATACGAAGTGCCTCACTAGGGAGTGCACCTCGAGGAGCGTTAACTTTAGAGAACGTTCTTCAGGTAAAAATAAGAAAACATTTTTAATATTTCAAAAACGCGTTCACAAAGTATAATATTCCAGCATTTACAAAACCATGTTAATGAGCGTAGGGGGACTAAAATAAATACCGAGAGCTAAAATCTTATTTTCACTTCTCTATTATTTGTTTGTTTCGCCTTGGTTACCATAAACATACACAAAATGCCCTTGGGCAGAATAATCGGGTGTTATAGCTTATAAAGCCCGCTAATTATTTAAATTTTTAAATGTCAGAATGAAAAAAAAAATAGTTATTCAATTTAAATAATTTATAGGACATAGGTACACAATTTTTTAATATTCTTTAGTAAAATTAAAAGCACAATGCTGAAATATATGATCGGAGATTTTCCGAACATGACCACTAGTACTTTGACAATCCAGAGGATTCAGCTAATGTAATCGAATCTAAATTAATAATGGACACTATTCTAAACGTATATATTTCTGTCACAGATGTACTTCTCCTATTCCGATGCATTTTCCTCGAACTAACCTCAACCAAAAGGGTTGATGAAAAGTTTTTCATAAAAAAGTAAAGAAAAATCTTTTATTTCTTTTGGTCCCAATGAAATATATTTCCTGAACAGTTTCAAAATTTTATCTTTTATCTGAATTCTTTTGAAGCTAGTTACCTAGTTCTGTAGTTACCTTCATATTTTAACTAATAAACATTTACCTTGGTCTTTTATATCGTCCACGGTAATTTTTGTAAGATCATCCCTTAACCTTCCAAAAAACACCCTTTATAAAAACTGTTTTATTAATTTTCAGTAAATTTATAGCAGTCTATTGAACTACTTCCCGTCAAGATATAAGATAGCTTATAAGCTGAAAATACATTCAAAATAAGGAAATAAAACATATTTTTACTTCTTATGGACATTATAACCCCTATAACTTCCTTTCCTTGGTGTACAAATATATACAATGTACTTTTTTTTTCTGTGACCTATAATAACAAGAGTTCGAAATTTGCGTGTTAAACATATTAAAATAAACTTGCTAGCTTCTCATTTTGTTGCAAGTGAAAGGTAGACTTTAGCATTATCTCTATCATTAAAATGGTTTTTGTAGCGGTATCACTGAAGAAATGCAACATATGTTGCTTTATCAGGCGTTAGAAAATATGTACTTATGCCATATTTTAATATTTTTCTTATCTCTAGTTTCGTTTAGTTTTCCGATTTTATACAGTTGACAACTTTGCAGTAATGGTCATTTAGGTAAACATTTCTACCAAAATAATCGAAATCGTAGTACATCGGAATGTTATACACCGCGAACAAAAAAAATATAACCACCCTGTTCGGCAGCTGTAAGAGCCGATTTCTTTTATGCATATGACTTTCAATATGGTTCTTACACTGATAGGAACAAAAAGTTTCACAAACACGATATTTTATTGCTGTTCCATCACAGCGTAAATCTGGAGAAGGTTTAATACATTTATTAATTTGACAGACATACCCCGGAGAAATTTTTAAATTTCTTTTTGATGCAGTGATGTAGTTCACCATGCTCTAAACGAAAGTGAGTTTCTGTCCAAGTGACACTAAAATAAATACTGTAAAAGATGTAATAAATTCGGGGAAATAGTAATTTTTTCTTAATAAAAAATGTGACACTTCTGCACCTCTCAAGAGAAGAGTATAATTTTTGTCCTACCACAAAAAAATATATATATAAAACGAAGAGTAACAGTTATATTTTACAACGAATTATTTTAAAAAATACATTTCTGGTTTATATTTCGTGGTCATTTTCGAATTCTTTAATAAATTAAATTTGTCCTCACACTGAAAATATTGTCTGCGCAAAAAATGGTGCTAATCGAGACGACTCGTACAACGCTACAAATTATTCGTTTGTCCCAAATTCAAACCTATGCACAGTTTTAGAGGCAGATGAGAAGTAGAATATCGGAATATGAGCAATAAAATATAACTGTTAACGTATCACTAGGTTAACACTACAAAACAAACATGAGAATTCGACGGTAGAGGTTTCTGGGTTAAGTAAATTTGGCTAAATGATGTATCAAGGGCATATTATGCAATTTACTGCACTTAATTCAAATTTCAATGCACACTAGAAATGATTTCATAAAATAAAATCCATTTTCTTGTAGCTAGCTAATACTGCTTTCAATAAAAGCGATAAATTCAAATAACATTAAGACGGACAGCTTTAGTTTTATACTTGTTTAATTTAAACAAACAATGCTAACAGTAATGTTTACAATATGTATATCGAAACCAAAGCTAGTAAACAATTGTAAAAAACAATGCATAATATATAAATACATAAAACTTTGATAACTGAATTTACTGGCCCCTTGAATATAGATAGGCACATCAAAAATTGCGTGCAATATTTTTTTTGCGAAATTGTTTCATTGTTAAAATACCGCAAAAAAAAACATCAATTAATTTATTGTTCCGCAACATCGAATGTCTGATTTACAATTAAAAATAGATCGAACTTCTTAGTTTTAACTGAAGTCATCACCAGGTATCATATTTCGTCAATTTCGGACTTCGATGTTCATAATGTTCATACCGAGAATTAAGCATTTGTTTCAAGTTTCTTCATCTCAAATTTCACAATACAGCGTTTTAAATAGAATTTTCTGTACAACTGAATAAGTAAATATATCATTTGCCCACCGGAATGACGAATGGTAATGGTAATGAAAATGGATAGTTCAATACATACAATACGGATTGCTTTACAAATAAGTAATAAAATTTTGTAAATAAAGTGCGCTGAAAACGCAATCACGTACTCTAAAAAATATTCACTGTAAATGTATAATGGCTTATTTGAATCATATTTTATATTCGTAATAATACACAAACGAGCATATAAACGTGAATACCGTTTGTCTCACATTCCCAATTATTGAAAAAAGTTTGGAAAAAAATTATCTGTACAAATTTTGATAAGCAATAAGTGGGTAAAAATGGTATGGATGGATATTCTATCTTCGCTAAATATCCCTTTCACCAACTCAAGAAATTACAGAAGACGCCATGAGTTTGAGACACATAGTATACAGGGTCGGAAAGTCCCCATGGTTCATCGGCCGTTACGTGAGAGCGATAAAGTAAGTCATAGAAATCCGTGCGATAGAGAAAGATGGCTATAATGAAGGCGTCTAATAGTCACCGCCCATATCGCCCTTCCACAAATAAGATCCACTTCTTATTTGTGGAAGGGCGAAATGGGCGGTGACTATTAGACGCCTTCATTATAGCCATCTTTCTCTATCGCACGGATTTCTACGACTTACTTTATGGCTTTCACGTAACGGCCGATGAAACATGGGGACTTTCCGACCTTGTATATAACCCAATAATAATGTACTCTATATTAAATTTATTTGCAGAATAAAGAAAAGAAAACGCTGTAAAATACGTCAAGCTTAGTAATCAATAATAATATGTACTGAATTGTCAACAGTTTCATATCGGTCATTTAAAATATCGAATATTAAAGTTATATTTTCATTGTTTTCCGTTAACATAATAAATAGCGTGCAATACATTACAGGCACTTAAAGTAGAAAATAAGTGAACATAGAGTACACACAATAGGCAAGGGCAAGATAAACATAATTTTGGAAATAAGATAGATACCTATTTAATAAAATTTGATACTATATACAGGTGTATAATTATAACTACATACGTATATTTTTTTTTAGCTTTCACATATTAAAACAGTGACATTGCACTGGTAAAGTGTAACAAAAAAACTCACTTGACCATTCAGAAGACAACTAATTATATTGGCACTTGAAATGCGCTTGAACATTATGTAATATCGTGGGAAATAATTAGTGTAACTTTCACGAATTTGTCGATTTATGCCCACACATTTAACAATGCAAAAATTGACTATAGAAAAATACATTTTACAATAAAATGAGCAAATAAATAACGCAGTGTTCATTCTATTTAACATGGCACCTATGAATAGATTTAACGAGTTTTAAAAAACTTTTGCTTGCTAGTTTCATTTTCAAAATCCATTTAGGTATGGTACTTAAATTGAGAGTTGCAAGTTTTGAAATAATATAACTTGGAAGGTAATTTGGTAAGAGTACTGAACTATAAAACTAAATTAATTCTTAAATAAAGTTATTTATTTGTCTCGTCTTCAGTACTGATTTAATGACAAAATAATGTGGTGTTGTGAGCATCTTGAGAGTTAACTGTAAAAACGAGTGAAAAAAATATCAAGTACTAACTAAGTAGTCGGTACAGATGTAGACAAAAAAGTTTTCCGATAAGAGAGGGTATATACTCTCAAACATCAGATTTTCATTAAAAGCAATCATTTATTCTTTTATAAATAAACATGCGTTTTTTATACAGAAAAACCCAAACTAAAAAAAGGAAAAACTTCAGTTAGGAATCATGTTACTTTAATCAATATTAACAGTAACTACAATAAAATATCTGGATTTCAATGAAATGTTACCAACCCAATATCAACAAACCTATTTTTATTGCTAATTGAGTGTAAGGAATGTTTGCCTTTCATATAGGTGTAGTAACCATCTTTTAGATATACAAGTGCTTATAGACACAAAGAATAAGGAATAATAAACCAATTAACCTTTGTTTAATATAGAATCATGTGTATGATTCGGAAATGTATATTTCACAAAATGATGAATACTGAAATGTATAAATTGGGACATGGCAGATGCTAATCTACTGAGGTCAACAATAAACAAAAAAACTTACCTTTGTGTGTGACCTTTACAAGCTCACGATGGCAATGCCCGTCGATTTCCAGCCCCAAAGTTCCTATAATTGGAAAAAAACTGTTGTTACACACAAATGGTTATTTTTTAACATATTTTTCTTTCTTCCGTCAACTCAATCAATAGTAACGGTGTATTTGAGATAACCACCCACTCGCGATTTTTCATCAAATTGTTAAGACGCTACGAAACATGCACGACAGAATCAAAAAAATTATTTTAATATGTAGGAAATAATGACATTCATGCTGACAAAGAATTTGTGCACACTTTTTCTACGCAAATAACTGGAAAAATTTGTGGCGATATTTGACATCACTAATCACTGTGTAATACCTCACCTTGTTTCTACTCTTCACATATCCATATTTAAAATGTTCAATATATTTTATATAATAATATAATTGAAGAAAATCAACAAAATTACAAAGAACGATAAAAATATTTTCACATTCACCTACGTTGCGCTTTGCACTTTGCAAAATGTCACGCTCACGCAGCGAACCCGTGAAGCGACCTCTTACGTGAAGTTATTTTTGACATTATCTTCGCGGGACGCTTAAAATTTCTACGTAGAATGACTAGAAAATATCATATTAAGCAATAAATTTAAATAAATGTACCTAAATTACAAATATAATTAGAATAAAATACTATTAATATGTACAATATCAACCAATTTGTAAAAATTAGAAATGATCTAAGTATTATTCAATAGCTCAAAGATAAAATTTTGTAAGTATTTGGAGGTTAATTTCTGTATCCAATTAAAAACGTATAAAAAGGACTTTCATGCATTTGAAGAAAAACAGTGACATTTTTTGAATAGCCATAGGCTTATCAATAAATATAAATATAAATGAACAGCACATTCACTATGATTACATATGTACATACATACATATCTCTACATATTTCTGAGTATGATTATTTTCATGTATTACTTTATTAAAGAAGACAGAGTTTAAAAGTATACAATTTATTAATTGGAAAGTTGATTGTTAGCTCATGAAAAAAAAACTGAGATCCTGTTATTAAAATAGTAGAACTGTCACGTTAATGTCAGTTTGACTCGTGAAATGGAGATAGAATCTTTACTAAGTAGTTTAGAAACATCGGGTCATTTTGGCCACATATTAAGTATTGAAGAGAGTCAAGTGCTGTATAACTCTTTACTGATACTACAGAACGAGAACCATTTTAGAAAAATCTATTTTTGGGGTAAAATCTTCGGCTGTGAAAAAGATTATTATATAGCCTTTGGGTACACGAAAGATGCAATGCTTGGAAGGATATATTATTATAGCATGAATTGTAAAACTTGGGGTTTGTTACCACAACCGACAAAAAATGGGATGCAACTGACACCACTAGCTTCAACCAAATTTATAGGTAAAAAGATGTATAATTGCATCTATATAAATTTGAACATAAAACATTTACTAGAATATAAAAGCATAATTATTAATCATAAAGAAATATATCATTTAGTTAATTATCAGTGTATAATTAAATTTATTTATCACAACTTACACATCAAAAGCTTGAACTTGAAATAAATTTACTCACAAATATTTTTTTATAGGTGACCCGACTATGGTCATAGATATTTTAATAGAAAAAGATGAGACCTTAATACCTTCTAAAAGGAAGCAACCTGAAGTTAAAAAACTAAAAGAAGAGGATCGACTTGCGTCTACAGTTCATTTCATCATGAACGAAGTCTCAGTTGTACCAAGAGGAGCTTTATTTAAAAGACCTGATGGTGTAATTGTAGACAATATAAGTTTTGAGGGCCTTTCAACTTTAGATGCCAGAGAAATAAAATCATTTCAACATGTGCGAGTCCCAACTCAAAAAATAAATACTAATCTGCTTACAAGGCATGATTATAATTATGCAATAGATTTTTTGGATCCCTTAGATCTTGATATTCCAGAAGGCTGTTGGATGATACAGATAACACCAGCAGAAGACATGGTTATATTGAAATCTCTCTACTGGCCAGGATTTATATTTTATCATTATTTGCGCAATCCTAAACACGGTTTTATATATTTTGGTCATGGTAAAAAAAGCATGGATCTTCCTTTTATGCTTTGTCCCTTTTTTACCATTAATTAATAAATGCTGTTAAAATAAGTTATTCATTTGAATCTTACCATTACGGTTTGTAGGTCGTAGATATCTTTTTCCGAAATAATATCATTTACAAAAACAATAACTACGAAAAAACTTATATTAAACATAAAGGGAGTGAATAATATTTCTTTATATTAACCACATACATAGATATAAATAAATATTTGTTACATAACCTCCACACTTCACCACTAACCTCTAATTAATAAGAGAACGAAGAAACATCACCAATTTCAGTCCAACCAATTGCAAAATAATAAAACAAAATTTGTTCTTCAGAGGCGTATTAAAAAAATTGTCAATTTTAAAGAGAAAGAAATTAACACAAAATACACAACTACCCGCTATACACTAACAGATGTCGCCCATTTCGTGAAATTCACAAATACTCTTTTATTTATTTCTGGGGTGTTTGAGACCTTTTCAGATTCTAACAAAAAATTATGTAATGTGGCAGAAATATGACTTGTATTTTTTTTTGTATTAAATCATTACTTTTGTTCGACGAACGAATTTTGCAACGGTTTGAGTTTGATACTAAATGCTCATGTTTTGTCCATAACTGACTTTAAATCAGATTGGTATGAAATCTTCTAGGAACGCATACTTAAATTATTATTATTATTATTATAGAACATTATAAAAAAATAAACAAATTGTATTTTTGCATTTTATATTCTATCGTTTATTATTTCAGGTATTTACGTAACAAATAGAAATTGGGTATTAATAATATTTATGAAATATTTATATATTTATATAAATACAATATGTATATTTAAGTTAAATTAAATTAAAACAATGCATAGCATGGTTATTAAAGTGTCTAAACATAGCCATAAAATTATAGGTTGACAAGATCAAAAAGTGTTATAAGTTCTACTGTACAAAACTGTTGGGAATTATTCTGATCATTTAAAACTAATTGAAAAGTAGTCTTGCTTTTTACGAACATCAAATTTGTTGTCAGCGTTGGTAATTTGCTGTTACTCGAAAACACGTATGCGCCTGATGGTTTCGTGGCCAATCGTTCTTCCAACAAAGCTATTATTTAACTGGAAATTAAATAAAATACGAAATTAAACGACTGTGTTCTAATTGCGTAATCTATAATGGAAAGTTCAATTAAAATCACATATCATTTTCTTTCTCTTTATTTTATTTAGCAACAGAGAAATCGGGAGGAGTAACTTAAATAAGAAGTTTTCTGCAATAACATGTTCATAGTTTAGTAAATCACAAGGCTGATAACAATGGCGTGGGATTTGAAAAAAAATTTTTAGAATAAAAAAATATATGTAATGAGTTATTAGCGAAACTGTTTGCCCAGTTAGCATTAACTTTCGTTTGTCATAGTATTGAGTGACAAAACGCTATACATTTTTATGATGCAAACACTCCATTGGCGAATGGCTTCGTTCGTATTAATAAAAAATAATCATTAACAAATCCTGGCATGTGAATCGAAAATCGAAATGGTTCGATTATAAAAATCGAAACATTCACGAACCATGCATAACTATCTACCTCATAGCGTAGCTTATGAAAGAAATTACTCTATTAAGAGAATTAATACGATTCCACTTTCCAAAGTCATGTACTCTAGTTAAAAAAAAATTACTCTATTTAAAAAAAAATGATTTAAGTATGCACCTAGTGCGGCCCTGTTGAAAATTTATCGGATACAAACTTAGCCCAGAAAAAGTTCCTAGATTTTCGCGCCATTTTAGTAATGTTTTGCGTTCTCGTATTAATCTTCCGTTTCCCCAACATTGACAACCGGAGATTTGGGTTGACATATTTTTAATTTTTGTGATATTTTCTTAAAATTATTGTAGTGGATATCCTTGAAGACAGTAAACTATAAAACGATGTCTGAAGATAATAACGTAGAGGAAAATAATATGGATAATATAGATGATTCTGATACGGTAACATTAACTTTAAACGAGGTTTTGGAATTGGAAGATGAACTAATAGAAAATACAGCAGCTGTTCTTGGGGCTGCAAATGATAAAACATGCTCCTATGTAGAGGTAAGTTCCTAATTCTACTTTATTGATTGAGAATATTTTTTGCATACAAATACTTTTAAATTTAAGATTGAGACGTGAAGGCGACTTTAGTTTTTGTTTTAATTGGCTAATAATGATGATATTTTGATTTCCAAATTGTATCTTGAGGACTACCTTTTTACTTTCATATTCCATAAGTTTTAAAATTTTGCATTTTAAATATGTAAATTGCATCATGTCTTAATTTTCCATATGGAATGATATTTTATAAACACCATTATATCCTGTTATTAACTTTTGTATGTTGTATGCTTTGTGCATTTACATTGATACAACATTATAATTTAACAAATTTTTTCCCTAGCTTGATATAAATTATTTTGTTTGTAATAAAACACAAGCAGAGTACGAGCTGACTTCTTATAAGAACACACTTTAAAATAGGTGTTTGCAGTTGTTAAAAATGATTCACAAAATTTATTTTGCTTGAATAGGGGTACCTAAAAAGGCAAGCTTTATACTCATGCTTAACTTGCATACCAGAAGCCAAAGATGATCCAGAAAAGGGTGCTGGAATATGCTTGGCATGCAGTTACCATTGCCATGATGGTCATGATCTTGTCGAGCTCTACACCAAGCGAAATTTCAGATGTGATTGTGGAAATAGCAAGTTCCCCAATCTAGAATGCAATTTATTCAGTGAAAAGAATGAAGTCAACGATTTGAATAGTTACAACCAGAATTTCTCAGGGTTCTACTGTGTATGTCATCGTCCTTATCCTGATGCTGAAGACCCAGTTCCTGATGAGATGATTCAGTGTATTATCTGTGAGGATTGGTACCATACAAGGCATTTGGGAACAGAAATACCGTCCAACAATTTTGCTGGTAAGCTTCAAGTTTTTAGAGGTAAGTCTCTTAGATCTTTTGAATGTTGTTACGATCTTATCTCTACGGATAATTAGATAAATATACCTATTGGTAGGAAAGAAGTAAATAAGTAAGTTTATAGTTGATGCAAAAATCATAATCATAAATATTTTTATTATTAAGATATAAGTATTGATCAAGAATCTTGCCCGAATTATATTGGTATCTACAGGATATCCCGGAACTGATGAGCAATATTTTGGATTTGGGTAGATCTTGCAAAAATGATGTCACAAGTTTATATATTTTGTTTTATCCTGGTTCATTCTGTAGAGTTCTTAGCTCTTGAAGTTGAAAGTTGAAAATCAATTTTTCCTTATAACTTTGTTGTATACTGTGCTGATAACTATTTTAGAGGTCTAGGGGTAGACAACCTTCTGCAATTGAATACATTACCATGCTTCAAATAATAACTTTTACCCAAAAATTATCCAAATTTAAAGAAAAACAAAATAGTTGTAAGGAAAGATTGATTTTGAACTTTCAATTTCAAGAGCTGCACAACTGTACCTTCTACAATTTTGGTACTTTTTTTTATTTTAAATATTTAAATATTGCTGTTACGTTAGTCTGATGTTTTAAGTCTATTTATGATTTGTGGTTTGCTTTTATATCATAATTGTACTCTAAAACTTGGTAGTTTGAAATTTGCCCAAATTGATAGATTGGTATATTTACTTAAGTACACAATTCAAACGAACTGTGCCAAATTTCTTGATCAATTGCTTCAACATTTTATTGGGTCAAAATTTAAAATTTAACAAATGTGTACTTAACATATTTAGTAGTAGACTTAAGTATTACCAATAAATTGGTCAATTTATTGTAACATAATTTTTGTCGTAACAATAGAATAGGTACCATGAACACGAGATGTGAAAATTTTATTAGATCAAAAATTATATTGAAAAAATAATTTTATATATTCTATATAAAATTTACACCATTTATTTTTTTGGAAATATTTTACGATTCCTAAAATCAATTTAAATTAAAAAAACTTCCAATTCAAATTAAAAAATTTTTTCTAAAAAATCTCATCAAGTGAAGTGAATCTAGGTATGCGAAAGATATCTAACCCCACATACGAAATTTCTAAATTAAATGCTGTTATTGTAGGAAGTAATTATTCTATATCTATATGCTAGCATTGAATCATACCCTCAATAATCAGTAAACAGCTACTTAGTATAAATAATTACCCAAAATAAGAATTAAAAATGGTATGTCTATATTAGAGGATTTGATCCCGACAATCGGGATTCCGGGATCATGACTGCTTTTCAGTCCCGAAATTTTCGGAATTAAGTTTTCCTGATACTGCGATTTTCGAGATCAACATCATTTTAAAAAAGTTGCAAAATAGACTGCGTGAAGTGAAATGCTTAGTGCCAGTGCTCGAAACAGAATTGCTTGCCTATCATTTTAATATAAAATACAAAAAGTTTTATTCCCAGCAAGCAGCACAAATTAACCCAGCGGACTTGGGCTGCTTACTTGTATTTTAAACTAAAATGATCGGCAAGCAATTTTCACTGGGTTACTTGGTCATTTTTATATTTTTGAATTTTGAATATTATTTTTAAATACATTTTGCTAGGAAACTTACTTTACTATCTACTTACTAGGTTGTTACATGAAAATCGTCTATTTAGTCGCTGTCAAGACAGATTTTTGTTAATTTTCAAAGCTTATTTGCATAGTTTGACCAATTTATGTAAGTTAAAAAGAGCTCTATCTCACTGATTCTTGAAAGAGAATAGGTACCTTGAACATAAGGGCTAGGTGATTTTAAGTCTGGTTAGTTTGATTCTAAGTCTGACTGATTAGATTACCTTGGTATATACCATAAAATATATTGATTCTTGTTTAAATTTTGATTACGTTGATTTTTGTCTAAAGAGTGACCCAAAATTTTACCCATTTCGTCGACCTCATGAATTCGATTCAAAAGTGGTATAAATAATAGCTTGTGGTGATACTTTAGAGTAGGCAAAATTTTAAGTTTAGCATAGTTTTTGTTTTGGAGATATGACAAGTCTAACCTGTTAGTTGACTTGTTCACCCCAAGATTCACCCCAACATTCTCGGCACACTCGTTCATTGTGTTCAAGATTCTCAAATATACAAAGTGTACTATTTCCTATATAAAATCTTTCGTTCTTTATGAATCTACCATTAGATTTTACCAAAAACTTTGTTTTAATGAGGTAATGCCGATTTTACAAAAAAAATCAGGATTTTTGCTGAAAATATTCAATTAATCGGTATTTTTATATTGGAGACTTACAAAATCTCGATATATACTGTAAACCTTGTATCCGAAGCACTTTGAACTAGGATAATTTGGATGTAAGATTAGGTTTGGTTATATTATTGAAATGTATTTCAGTAATATGTAAGCCTCTTCACGTCACGGTACTAATCCAGGAAGAGGTTTGTGTTTTTTTCTTGTTTTGTTATTTTTATTATTTTTTAATTTTTTTGTTATTTTCAATTTTTTTTTGGATATTTCATAACAACTTTTATAAAGCTAACCATTTTGTGGCTTATCACATATTACCTCTAGTTTCGTTTCTTAGCATAGTTTGTCGTAAAAAATTAATTGTCAATAATGGATTTTCCAAATGATTTATTCCATAAAACTTATCATTTTTTGAGCGTTTTTGCTCGTTACAACCTAAACATATTATGAATGGCAATAATTGAGTAATCAAAGTGTATATTAGCGATATTTTAAAATTGATTCTAGTGATACAATTATGTATCCTTACAACAGTTAGGATAATGTTAGATTTTCTTTAAGAAAACACCATGTTGTGAGAGACTATGCCTTTTGCAACCAATGAGTTTACATTTTCATCATGCAGATCATGTAAAATAATAACGCAACTATTTTCTTAAGAGAAGTCTCTTACGTCGGCTCAGTAGTACCCGAATTCGCCAAAACTGATTGCTCGCCAAACCGAGTGACTTCTTTAAGTGTTTGCTATGCAAGATCGATGTTTTCAGTATAAAAATATCGTTGAATCAGATATTTGCAAATTATTTTTTACAAAAATCTTTTATAACGCTCTTGTACTATATTTTTGGTAAAATATAATGAGATATTCGAAAAGAACGGAAAATATGTTATAAATGTTACTGATTGTATTTTAAGATAAAGCAAGAGGTCACCGAGAATGTCGAATTCGTCTTGGCGTGGATGAATCAAATTGCAAGTTTAACTTGCCATATCCTAAAAATTTAATATATGCTCAACTTGAAATTTCGTCTACATTAAACTATCACTATAAGCTATCATTTAGACCAATTTTGAATTGAATTCTTGAGGTCGACAAAATGGGCGAAAAATAGGGTTTTTTTGGGTCACTCTTTTGATTAAGTTGACTTTTGCCTAAATTTTGATTTGTTGATGAAAGAGCTGATTTCTTCTTTTTTATTTGCAACTCTCAATACCGAAACAAGCCCAGGATCCCGGGTTTGACTAAGTATAATCCCGGGATTAGAAATAAGGCTCGGGATCGAATTCCCTTGTCTATATCGAAATTTTTAAATGTTGAGTAATCTTTCAAAGAAGTATTTTATAAAAACCGTTACTAAATGTAAAAGAGAAACATTATTTAACAATTTCAATATACCAGGTATGTGTTTTTGTATTATTTATACTTAGACATATCATTTTTATTTATTATTAGCTGTTTAGTGGTTATTAGGGGTATAATTCAATGCTAGTTGGGGCACATAGCCCACAGAGAGTAGTTGTTTCCCACAATAGCAGCAGTTAGGAATCTTGTCTGGACTTAGATAGGTATCTTTTATACAGGGTGTCTCATAATTAGCTGCCAACCTTGAACAGGCCGATTCTATGATCAAAACTAAGTAAAAAAGTTCATATGAACATGGGTCCGGAAATGCTTCCTAAGGGCACAGGGACCCACTGAAGAGGGAGGAATGGAAATCATTTTTTTGCAATATCTCTCAATCGCGTTGTGATAAATGAATGAAATTTGGTATACACAGCTAAATTTTGATGAGCAATTTGATGGACTAATCCATTTATTTCCACAAGGTCCATTGGGGTGGGTACGGGGGGGCCCTTGGTACTTTGCGTGTGTAACTTTTTCATCTTTGACTTTTTAACAAATTGGACAGCAAATTCCGTTTTCCCGAACTGTTTTACGTTAAAAAGGTACTCTTGTTTCAAATCGTTATCTTTAACGGTTTCTGAGAAAATCGCTCTTGAATTAATCCCACTTTGGTCAATTTCATAGTAATTTAAACAAAAAAAATTTTTTTGTTTAAATTTAATCTAATTTTAATAAAAAAATAATAATAAAAAATTAAATTAAATAAAAATTAATCCTTTAAATGGAAAAGAGAGGAAAGGAAAATTATTATTATTATTTTTTGTTTAAATTACTATGAAATTGACCAAAGTGGGATTAATTCAAGAGCGATTTTCTCAGAAACCGTTAAAGATAACGATTTGAAACAAGAGTACCTTTTTAACGTAAAACAGTTCGGGAAAACGGAATTTGCTGTCCAATTTGTTAAAAAGTCAAAGATGAAAAAGTTACACACGCAAAGTACCAAGGGCCCCCCCGTACCCACCCCAATGGACCTTGTGGAAATAAATGGATTAGTCCATCAAATTGCTCATCAAAATCTAGCTGTGTATACCAAATTTCATTCATTTTTCACAACGCGATTGAGAGATATTGCAAAAAAATGATTTCCATTCCTCCCTCTTCAATGGGTCCCTGTGCCCTTAGGAAGCATTTCCGGACCCATGTTCATATGAACTTTTTTACTTAGTTTTAATCATAGAATCGGCCTGTTCAGGATTGGCAGCTAATTATGAGACACCCTGTATAGACCTTGAACCAAAGAACATTTAATTTGTTTTAATAGCTTAATGTGAAATAATGTTAAAAAACCCATTTAAATGCTCATTTCTATAAAAATTTAAATTTCCTCAGAAATGATCTGTGAAGCATGTGTGAAAAAACACCAATTCGTGCTACATTATGATGAGCTTATTATGAAGTCCCAGAAGGAAGATCAAGAGGAAGAAATTGATCCTCTCAGTCAGGAAGAAGCATCTGGTGAAAAAGACGTCAACTATTGCAAGAAACCAAAAGAGAAGTCGGAGAAGTTATGTGCCAAATTTTGGTCAGATGTAGGTACCTACTTTTTAATTCAGTTTGACAAAAATCATTCTATCTTGATTTTCAGATTAATTGGCGCAAAGAGCTTTGCACCTGCGACAACTGTTTAAGGATGTACGAGAATGAAGATGTGGCCTTTCTGTTGGATCCCGAGGACCCTGTACATTTGTACGAAGAAAAGGGCAAAGCCAAAGCGAAGGAGATCGTTGAAAACCACGACAGGAATTTCATTAATTCTCTGAACCGCGTCCAACTTGTCGATTGCATTGCTGGTTACAACGATTTGAAACAGCATCTTGGGGAGTACTTGAAGAAGTTCGCTGAGAATAAAAAAATCGTGAGGGAGGAGGACATCAGGGAGTTCTTTGAGGGAATGAATGCCCGGAAGAAGCAGAAGGTGGAGGTGCCACATTACTGTCGTTGAGTAATGTCGTTTATTAAATTATTCCAGTAATTATCTAATTGTTAGGCTTCAATTGTTTGAAAAATAAAATGTTTGTAAAGTGAGTAGATTTTGAATCATTCTATATGTACCTATATGAATAAAATGCTGTCAATAAAGTATAATTTCTTTGTCTTGGTATTATTTTAAGATGGGTATGGTTACCTTTTGGAGAAGGGAACACTTGAAATGCTTATGGAACTTGATAATAATTTTATGAGGGTGTCTATTTAAAATACAGGGTGTCCCAAAATTAATGCAACAAAATTTGGTCATAGATTCTTAAGACAAATTTAGGGGACCCGTATTTTTTATTGTTACCAAGTGGCCCCCTGAAGTCCGCCCCTCAGAATAATCTTTTTTTATATCTCAGAACTCTGTTGTACGCGAAACACCAAATTTGTTACAGTGTTTTTATGACGTGGAATTGATAGTGCTGCGTTTTTTTGGTGGGGAACCCCCATAAGACACTTTTTCGTGAGCCCCCTTGTTTTTGGAACCAAAAAAATTTGGTCGTATATTTGAATTTCTTAAAAATTATTTGTTCCCAAGAAAACCATTGCATTTAGAAACTTTTTCATCGCTTGATATTTCTTTCGTAAAACGTAATGTTTTTGAGAAAAATGTTGAATCACGATATGCATTCGATCACATTTTGACATTTGACATGGCTTTCTAATAATTTTTAATTAAAATATGCGACCAAATTATTTTTGCTCCAAAGGTAAGAGGACCCACAAAAAATTGTCTTAAGGGGATTCCCCGCCATTCCCGCCAAAAAGCATAGCACATCAGATTCCACATGTGATGAAACCCCTGTATACCAAATTTAATAATTCTCTTACAACAGGGTTCTGAGATATAAAAAAAAGACTATTTTTAGGGATGGATTCATGGGGCTGTAACTCCGAAAGAAGGGCCCACTTGACAAAAATAAAAAATAAGGTTCCCCTAAATTTGTCTTAAGAATCTGTGACCATATTTTGTTGCATGAATATCGGGACACCCTGTATAAAAAGAGCATTCTTGTATAACGCGGAATTAATCTATTATATTTTTTAGGGTCAGTGTATGTACAGGATGGGCCAAATTCCACAATTTTGGTGGCTGTCCCCTATTTTCAAAAACAATAGAAAAAATGTAGTAAAGAAGTTTGATCTAGATTTTCGAGAAAAATTAAATGGCAAAAATGGAATTTCAGTTTCTTGATTCCTTTAAAAGATAAAGATCATTTTTCTCTTTTTGGTTGTTTTCAATGATAAACTTTTCTGTTATGAAAATATGATTTTTGCAGTTTATTTACAGTTTTTTGCGTAGCATCTAGTAACGCAGGTGATACTATTCTGGTTTTTCAGTTATAACATGAATTTATATTTTTTTTAATGAAACATATTTTTGAATATTTAAAATTTGTGCAAAATTTTCTTTCCAAATTTTTTTATGAAATAGTTCAATAATAAAAAAAATAATTTTTGGTGCCTACTCTTTGAAGTAATTTGTGTAAATATCATGTATGATACACCTCATTTGAAAAGAAATTTTATGCAGATTTCAAAAACTGAAAAATACAGGGTGGGCCATTAGTGTGAGAAAGTAAAATAACTCCCTTGTTATTCATAATACAGAAAAAAAGTTTATATAAAAGTTGTACAGAATCAAAAAACCTAAACTAGAAAATTAATACGATACATACAGGGTGATGAGTAAAAACGGGACGCGCCAAATTTCTATATATAGCAATATAAACAGTGTAACATTTTAGTGCGGGGTTGTCAAGTTATGCAGAAGTTTGTTTATAGCTGAAAACTCTGACGTTATAGAAAAATGTCGTGTACACTGCTGGATACTATGTACAAAACTGTTTAAAAGAGTTCTTTTCAGGAAATAGGAGAAATTCTTCAAAAGTGTTGAATTTGGATTATCTTGTACAGTGTCCTCTATGGAACTGAAAATATAACTTTTATTTTTCATTTTACGAAAAAATAATTTTGCTTGTTTTAACAAAGTGTATTTTTAAGATGTAAACATATACAGGGTGTTATTCTCCTATTAACAATTAGAAATACAGAATATGTGGGCAATCTCTCGGATCTATATAGGGGACATTAAAATAACATGACAAGTCCCTATAAAAATTTTCCTTAGAGGGCCCCCCTACGAATAGAAGATAACTTTTAAAATACTTTGTGTAATTTAATTGTCTTTTAATACGATGGACAACAGATAAGGCTCCTTAAAAATTCACCCATGGAAACAATCTGGCTTATTTGGTTTGCCAGGGACGGACTAGCTGTAGCACAATAATGTCAGTTTTTTTACACCCTTTACGATAAAGGCATAAAAATGACATATTTTTAGATAGCTTGAACCTTAAACTAGAAAAAGGCACTATCTTGGTTGATATCAATAAAATGTTTTTGAGAAAAAACTATTTTTGCTTGATATGATTTTTATTATATCTGTATAGAGAAATAAACATGTAATTTGCATTCTTTCAATGCCTATCTAAAAAAATGCCCCTTTTATTTACATTTGTTTTTTCCTAAAAATAATTAAATTACACAAAGTAGAAGTAGAATTTTTTAACGAGAACTTTCACTCTTTTCAGTTCCATCTGTGGACACGTATAGTTACTCATAAATAACATTTAAACATAAGTCATTTATATTTTTCACGACAACGAATGCGTGAAGAGGTTTACCATTTTTCTCTCCATCGTCTCCCCCATAATAGTGGAATGCCCGATCACTTCTACTCTCTGTAAGTCAAAAACGACAACAAAATGTCCGATCGGATCACCCCTACGCTCAGCGGTCGCAACCGAACATTTTTTATTCCTGTACAATTAAAAAAAATGTTTAGTGCTGCTGCTATATTTTAATTTATTTCAATTAGTTTGTTATTCTATTTGCTTTATTTAATGCTCTCTGAATTAATGTCGAAAATATTTTAAACAAAAAATTGTTACGATACAATTTATAAAAATTAACCCCTAAAAAATCATTGGCATAGAGCAATTTTTCGAAAGTTATAGTTTCCAAATAGACACGGTTTTATTTCCAGGAGTGTTCATGAAAAATAAAATATTTGGATATGTATCTAAACCTAAACACTAGGGGATGAACAAGGGGTTAATAATTATTGCTTTGATTTCAGAATTACAGCTCACAAAGTAATTACAGACTGAAAATTTTATCTAATACAGCTGGCATAATTCTAGTTGATACTTGGGAATGGATAAATATCAGTTAGGCAAACTTGAATTGTAGCATTTCTTATCACCAGCGGCGGCGGTAGTACAAACAAACAGGTTTACGTGTTCTATAAAATCAGTATAAATGAGCGAAAAGTAATAAAGTAATATTTTACATTTTTAGGATAAAATACCTGTGTAAAACAACCACAAATACATTTTTTTCTATATGCGCTCGAAAATAAGTCGACAATGCTATTGTCATCTTCATAGAATAAATTAAGATGCAAAATTTGTTACTTTCTCTACCAAAACACCATTGTTCAACTAAATTTCAATTAATTTCATTTAAAATAAAATAAATAATAAATACAAATAAAAACAGAATGATGTGTTTTTGTAGAAAGAATTGCATTTTCAATTCAAGATAAAGCACTTTTTTCTGCATTTTAATCTTTTGTAAAAATACCTACTCTTTCAAACGACGGTGCCGGCTATAAATGACATAATATATGACCTGCTAATTATTTTACTTATTTGAAGCATTTAATTGCGACGCCTATGAAGAAAATGATTTTTACTCGTGTATATACACGCACATGTAAATCTTAACATATAAATTAGTGAATTATTGAATCAATACCTACACAACAATTATTGGAATATCAAATTTGAGGAATATAAATAATGACAATCTTTCTATCATCCTAGTTTGCTTACTAACTGCTTCAAAAATATCTTTTTATTGGGATTCAGGAAGTAAATAGTAAGTACAGAAGCATGAATTTCTGTTTTTTGTTTAAATAAAATTTGCGGTAATTTACGGCATTGTTCTAAAAACTTTCAGTTGAGTTTTCTTGTTTTAATAAAGGCAATATGATTTACTGATAATGATCTGAATTAATCATTTACTACTATTTAAAAATATGAGAAAATTATCTGATTTGTTTATGACATTTCACAAAGTTTTTAATGTTTGGATTTCTTCAGTAAGGGGTTGTGTAAAAAAACTTATTTTTCAAGATTGCATAATGAGAAATAGATAAGTACATGACTAAAAACATTTCAGACTAGGTTAATGTTTCAAAAACTTTTCTATTTTAATTTTCAAAACAATGTATTGGAATTATATCCAAAAATATTTATAATATATTCAAAAGAAAGAGAAACTATATATTCTCTATATAAACAATAAAAAAGGGAGACACAATGATATATGTACCCACTATAGTGAACGTTAAATGAAAAAACACATTTGTTATGGATTATCTAAAATCTAGTAATAAGCTAAGGGATAAATAATGATTGTTTCTGATTTAGATTACAGGTCAGGAAATATTAAATATAGACTGAAAACATTTGTTTAATACACCAGCTTAATTTTAGCTGTTAGTTTGGAATAGATAAATATCAGCTAAGCAAAACCAAATTGTAGGATTTATTATTACCAGTGCCGGTGATGGTACAGATTTTTCAGAGGGGCAGGTGGGTAGGTAAAACAAAATTAAAGTACCTGAAAGAGCCGAAAGTAATATATTGGATATCGTTACGTTAATTTGTCATTTGTAGTATTGCTTTTCCCTTTTTTTTCAAATTTTCTTGACATCAATAACATTAATTTTAAATACCTTATCAAATAAGGTATGAAGGTTTCAAAATCCATGAAACCTGAGGCGGCACTGAAAATACAAGCACTTAAAAAAAAGCAATTTATAATTTGTCCAGTTCCTAAATGTTTACTTATCTATTAGATTTAAGCATAACTAGAAACGATTCTAGGTGCTATGCTGAAAAATTACTATAACAATTTTTTCAGTTGGTTTCATAACCGGGATCCTAATTATAGCTAAACTGAAAACTCGACACTATGTCCAAGCCACAGATTGTCTGTCTGCAAAATACTCTGAAAATATTTCGCTTCTACGCAATGTTTCCTGAAAAAGACAAGGAATTGAACCCTGGAAAGTACCACTACGTTAAATTTGCAATCTTGGCATGTTTTAGTTCGGTAGTATTGATTGGAAGTTTTCTACACCTAATTAAAAGTGTGAATGGTAAGTATTTTGGATAAGAAAGTGTTTGCTATAATTTGTGGGCAACACGATTAATTGGACATTATGGATAGTGACTAGACCTAGATAGCTTGGGCAAAGTGATAAACATTATAAAGGACCACGCACCCAATATATGTGATTTTGGTTCCCCGTCGAATTGGTTGCAATAAATTTTTTTCGATAGTATTTGACCTTCTGATAAAAAGTTCTCACGGGCACAAAGCCCAAAAAAGCCTCCTAGAAGGTCTAGCAGTCGACGAGAGTTTGGATATATGAAAGATATGTTATTTCGCACATATAACACCATACTTGATTATGGTAAACAAGGGTATTTGGGGGCGCTGATTATAAATCCAAGGTCAGCTAACCTCCATCATGTCAGATTCAAGGTCAAATTGTGATTTTACCATTAGAAAAATGTGAAACAGTAGGTACATGGGTTTTTAAGGTCACTGAATACGAATATCGGGTTCGCTTAAGCCTATAAGGTCACTTAGAGGTCATTCTAAGTCATTTCAAGGCCAAACTGACAATGATTAAGCGCACCTCAGAATTGAATTTAGCGACATCAGCCTTGCCTTAATTGGCCGGATTCCAGCCTTGTCTCAACTGGCCGGGCCACTCCATCCTAAGTGGGCACCGGGAAATACAGCTGCGGCCTGCACTACTACATCCAGTGGTGGTGATAGATGAGGTTTTTGTAGGTATGGCTATGGCGAGTCGCACATAACTCTGTGCAAACACCATCCCGAACACGGGGTACGCGTAAATGCATTTTCTCATCTTATAAAAAAAAAATCTCATTAACTAGTTAGAGTCTAGCTTTCACTGACCTTGTCATAAAGTTCAATGTCACTGTAAAAGTCAGATTCAATAATAGCATGAAAGGCGTTTCAAGTATATGACAATTTAACGTGCTCTTCTTAAGGTGGCCATATCCCTGGCCGAGAAATGGTGAAATTTCTGGCATTTTTAGGTACTGAAATCTTGAAAAGTAATACGTGTAGAACAAAAGTAAGCACAGAAATAAAGTCCTTGATGTTTTGTTTATTCATTGTTACCATTTAAATTTACCCAAATAAAATAATAACTAAAAAAAAGCGTTTGTAAAACATGCGTTTTCTGTTATCCTAACCCCACATTTTAAGAATTATTTTCACGTACTTATAAATAAAAGTAAACAATTTTATATGTAGGACTAAGCAAGTAAATGTTATAAGAATATTTACATGTGGAGTTATGTCTAAAAAAGTTAGTATTTTCGTAGATTTCAGTACCTAAAACCTTGATGGTTTGATCGTTTTTTGCACCTGTTTATTCGTTTTACTGTGGCGTCTTTGAAAATACTCAGTGGCATGACATAACATTCCTATTATTTGATAAGCTTTAGATTATTCAGTTATTAAATGTTTGAAATTACTAACCTTTGCGGAAAACACTATTTAAAGAATATGGGGCCCTTAATAAAAGGTTCTTTCTCACTTTGTCCTTTAGATGACTTTAAAATGACCGCTAGGTGACCTTGTAGGCTTAAGCGAACCCGATATTCGTCTTCAGTGACCTCAAAAACCCATGTACCTACTGTTTCACATTATTCTAATGGTTTTTTCACAAGTTGACCTTGAGATGACCTTGAAACTGACATAATGGAAGTTAGCTGACCTTGGATTTGTAATCAGCGCCCCCAAATACCCTTGTTTACCATAATCAAGTATGGTGATACAGCTTGTGCGAAATAACATATCTTCCAAACTCTCGTCGACTGCCAGACCTTCTAGGAGGTTTTTTTTAGGCGTTGTGCCCGTAAGAATTTTTTATCAGAAGGTCAAATACTATCAAAAAAAACTGGTTGCAACCAATTCGACGGGGAACCAACATCCCATATATTGGGTGCGTGGTCCTTTATTATATTGAACGGGTAAATGCTTGGTCAGTGGGAAAAATTGACCCATTTTGCCAATTACCCCCGATAGATAAAAAATATTGTTAAATGTCAACAATTAATTATTATTCAATTGGGTTAGATTTAGTTAGAATGATATACAGAGTGTTTTTGATATCTCGATATATAAATTTGGACTTGGTTAGTCTTAGAAAGAAAGCTCTTCATACATATTTTTTAATTTTATTTACTTCGAGACAACTTTGAAACGTATAAAAGACTTATAATTAATTAATATCTTTCCAGCTAATAACTACTTGAGCTTGGATACGGATTTAATATATACACTTTCATTGGGAATAACCTTTGCCTTTTCGATTGGTTTTCTCTACAAAACTGAAGCTTTGGTTGAATTCTTCTTGTTCCTTTCGGACTTCGAGGAGTTTGGAAAGCCGCTCGACTTCGACAGAGACAACACATTTTACGACAGACTTTCTATCTACCATTATATCTACCTTGAAACTTTGGTATCAGGAATAGTAATCATTTCCACGTATCTCAACATGAACAAATGTCAAAAATTAAACTTAGAATACGGCTTAGATGAGATATGCGGGTTGTTTTCCTACACGTGGATGCCCTTTGAAATCGATTATTTCCCCATGAGGCAAATTTTCTTGGTCGTGCAACTATTTGGGGCTCACCATTTCTACATGATCGCCGGAATGTGCGCTTGGTTTGTTTTCGAGACTGTTCAACATTTCAGAATAAGGATTCGGCATGTAAATTTTCTTTTTCAAGAAGCTATAAAGGAGGAAGATCCTCAGAGGTGCAGGGAGAAGTTCAACCACGCTGCCAGATATCACGCGTCGTTACTTGGGTAGGTAATCTTGTAAAATATACAATAACAACTAGAATCAGAGAAGAAATTGTGATTGTGTTTCTGTGTTTCTCTAGCACTAAAAACATGTAGCAGGTAAGGTATGTGGTTTGCCATTTAGAGGAAGTTATATTTTCAGAAAAGAAAGAGTTCAAAGTTTCATTTGAGAAAACTTACAATACTGAAACCTTATCTGAACTCTAAACTTTGTACGATGTGTTTTAATTTTTTTCTTTAACATTTATTTTAACGTTGCTATTATCATTATTTTCAGATTCTGTCAAGAGCAATACAACGTATTGACGTATTTGTGTTGATTTGTTATTTTTATGGTCGGTGTTAAATAAAAACAAATATTATTAGTGGTTTAAAAGAATAATGGAGTGGCAATATGTTAAAAGCATATTTTATATGCAATGAAAGCGCACATGAGGCAAAATGTTTCTTAAGATGCGATGCTTATTTGTTTAACATTTTATTGGTCTTTGTTCGACGTTTTCATTGCCCTTGAAAGTAACCAGGTATAAAGTTATTATTATGCAGTAAATCATAAATAGTTTAGCTATTAAATATTTAAAATTTTTTGATTTTGTAGAAAATATTCTATTGTGGAAACGGAGTACTTAATTCTGTCACTTCATATCTGCATATACATAAATTTTATAGTGAAGACAAGTTTTTATAAAAAAATTATGCATATCGGGTGTTTCACGTCAACGGGCACAGTGGGCTGCCCAGAATAAAAATGCATCAATATTGACGTTCGACGTGTCAAAAGCTTCGTATTTAAAAACTCTATCGAATTCCGTCTGGTGATTTTAAAAAAACATCATGGCGGTTCCAGTATGGCGTCCGCAATCATGGAAAATTCTGTTTAACGAGCAATATTGATAGATAAGAAACATAAAAATACTGCATTGTAGACTGAATCATCATATCTATACGTTTTTGGGGTTGCTGATTTCGAATTCAATATTCATTAAACCCCATCTGGTCACTGTTCGTCCCTAACCTTAAAAATACTTCAAATCGTTGAAATAATGCGTTTCTACGATGAGTAACACAGTCTAACCACCACAATTTATGTTTTCGGGATCGCTGAAACCAATTCTGATATCAATATAACTTCAACTAGTCAGAGTTCGTGCCTAACCTCAAAAAAGTAGCGCAAATTGCTAAGATTACACTTTTCTACGTTTAGGAATGAAGTGTAACCAACATATCTTTATATTTTTGGGGTCACTGAATCGAATTCCTACATCCGTTTGAACCCAACTAGTCATTAGTCGTACCTAACCTCAAAAGCTATAATAGTTATAAAGTGCGACCACCATATTTTTATGTTTTTTTCCAAACGAGCATGTGATATGATGAAAGGTATGTTCCATATAAAAAGAACAAATCCTTTTTAGAAGTTCTGCATATTATACTAAAGAAAAGGTATTACAGACTTTATGTCTTAGCCATGATAACGGCCTCAACCCGATTAAACACAAAAAGCATATATTGTTTAACCTGTTGAATTTAAAAATATCGAAAGGACTGAAAGGACGGAATTAATTCTTATGTAAGCCTTAATCAATTCGGCAAATACTATTTCGAAATTTGTTTCAGTATGTGGATTCAGTCAATGAACTCAGAAATTAAAATGGTTTGATCAAAACCCTAATCAAAGTGTCAGCGCACCAGAGACTTTTTGAAAAATAGTAGCGTTTGAGTGATGCTATCCAATATTTCGTGTTTTTTATGTGTATCTTCAGGCGCCATATTGGAACTACCACGAGAGGGTTAGAGAAGTGATACGGTTTGGGCGTAACTTTTGTAAATAACAGATAAATCGGATATAATAATCAACTTTAATTTCTTTACCTGTAATAGATTATAAGCGATTTTAGTGATATTGTGATCAGACTTTATAACTCAACCAGAAAAAGTGTCATTTTAGTGATTTGGAATATTTTTTGAGGTTAGATACGACTAGTGACTAGTTGGGTTCAAAGGGATGTAGGAATTCGATTCAGTGATCCCAAAAATATAAAGATATGTCGGTTACACGCCATTTCTAAACGTATAAAAGTGTAATCTTAGCAATGTGCCCTACTTTTTTGAGGTTAGGCACGAACTCTGACTAGTTGAAGTTATATTGATATCAGAATTGGTTTCAGCGATCCGGAAAACATAAATTGTGGTGGTTAGACTGTTACTCATAGTAGAAACGCATTATTTCAACGATTTGAAGTATTTTTAAGGTTAGGGACGAACAGTGACCAGATGGGGTTTAA